TTTCAGGCACTAGATAGTATCAATCTTTTCAATTTTTCCCATATGACATTCAAAAATGTGTCTCTTTGTTGTTTTAATTGGCATCTCTTCATATGTTTGTGCTCATTTGTAGCCCTTTTGTGGATCATCTGGTCTACCCTTTCCTCATTTTTTTTTTTTTTTTTTGGTCGGGTTGCTTTTTTAAAACTAAAGGAACACTTTATGATATATGGATTTTAATTCTTTGTTACATATATTGCAAATATTTCCTCTGTCATTTGTCTTTTAACTATACTTATTTTGTATTTTGCCATGCAAAAAGTGTTTGATTTTTATAAGTTGTATCGCTAAAATCCTATCCTTTATGGCTTCTTGAACATGTGTCTTATTTAGGAAGGCCTTCTTCTCCTGAGTTATACAGATACTTTTCTAAGTTTTCTTCTAATGTTATTATTGTTTTGTTTTTATGTTTAGCTCTTTAATCCATCTGGAAATGATTTTTGTATATGGTGTGAGGTAGGTATCTAAGTGTACTTTTCAAATGAATAGTTCATTGTCCCAACACTTTGATTACTAACCCATCATTTCATATATTAAATTCTGATATTATACATGGGTCTGCCTCTGGACTCTATTTTGTTCCATTGATCAATGAAATTTGTCTATATCTATGCCAATAACACAGTGTGCTCATTCCTGTAGTTTGATAATATGTTTTGCAATCTGATAGAGTAAATCTCCCCTGTTGTTCTATTTCAAATATATCTTTGTTTTTATCAAGTATTTATTCCTCTAGACAAATTTTGGTATCATCCTGTCAATTTCCATACATCATTCCATTGGGGTTTTCGTTTAGATTGTGTTGAATTTGCAGACTAATTTGAGGGAGGAATGAGAGATTTATGACATCGAGTCTTCCTATTCAAGGAAATGACATATCTTTCCATATATTAAGATCTTCTTTTATGTTTTCAATACTTTTCTTTAACTAGAACTTGTACATTTTCTGCTAAGGTTTATGCCTAGGAGTTATAATTTTTTTGTTGCTATTATACAAACGATATTATTTTCCATTGAATTTGTTACTACTGGTGTATAGGGATAGTTTGATTTTTGTAGGTTCATTTTATATCTGGGTGGCTTATTAAATTGTATAATGATTCTAATTGCTTTTTAGTTAAATACCTTGAATAAGTCTTAATCACATGCATGCAATGGTTTTTGACTCTTCTTTGTCAATGTTTCTACCTTGTTTTTATTTTTGCTTTATTGCTTTGGCTAGGACCATCTCAATGGTATTCTGTAAAATCAGTGATAGAAGATACTTTTCTGTGCTTCTAAAGTTTTATTAGCACGTATAATAGTCAGTGTCTTAGATAAAGGAAGTTACCTTCTATTACTAATGAATTTGGGCTTTTAATCAGGAAAATGTGTTGGAAAATTTTGGCATCTTTTGGAAGGTTGGATTTTCTTCTACCTCTTTAGGGAATTAAACACTAGCTTTCTTAAGGCTGAGGCATTCTTGCATTTCTATTATAAATCTTACTGAGTTATAATATGGAGTTCTTGTAATATCTTGCTGATTCAATATAATAATATTTTATTCATTAATGTTATGAATATAACAGATAATTATATGGATAAAATATCTATGGTTATATAGATATATAGATAAAATATCTATGGTTATACTCATGTATTTAAGGCTATATGCTATGTTTGACTGATTTTATCATCAGAAGTATTCAAATCACAGAAAGTCAATTGGTAAAGTTTCTAACTTTTTTATTTTTGGCTTTGGGAAAGTATAAATAGGATAAAACATTTTAGTAGAACTTACTCCCAAAAATCATCTGGACCTTATGCTTTTTTAATGTATAGAATTTTTACTACAATTGTAATTTTTTTGTGTGTTTGAATTTTCTACTTCTCTCTTTTTTTCATTAATTTTTTCTAGTAAATCAATTATGACATCTTTATTTTCAAATTTCTTGTTGTAATATTTTTAACATCTTACATTTGTCTCCTCTATGTCTTTTATTAACCTTGCCAAAGAGTTATATTACTTTTAAAGGACTACCAATTAATTAATTGTGTAGATAAGTCTCCTTTTAAATTTTTTCCCCTTTTGGTTGGTTGTTTTGCTTTGCTTTCTTTTATACCAATTCCTCATTTTATCTTTATTATGTATTTCCTCTTTCTTTCTATTGTCATGTTGGTCTTTACTACCTTTGTTGTTGAATCATATTTTAATTTATTAAGTATTTTAAAAATAAGTCCTTACATGTTATAATTAACAAAATTACTTTAGCTATATTTCATAAGTTTCAATGAATACAAATTTAATTATCATAATAAATAGTTTTACATTTAATTTTCAATTATTCCTTTACCAAATAGTTTTTTAATTGCCCAAAGGGAAACTTTTAAAAAAATTATTCTTTTGTTGTGAACTTCTATTTGGCACAGAAAATGTTTCTCATTTTTATTTTATGTTTACTGTGGTTTTTATCTTGGCATTTCAGCTTTCCTTTGAGGTATTATATGTGATTGGTTTTATAAATTGTTTCAGATAATTGAAAATAATTTTCAACTTTTTAGGGAGGCTGAAAGACACACAATTGCCATACTCATATCTATCAATTAAAACTCATTATCTATATTTTTAAAATGTATCTTCATTTATCTTTTCTTCTTGACCTGTCCGTTTGTGAAGGAAGTGTTTTGATTTTCCATTATAATGGTAGTTTTGTCAGTTTCCTTTGGTTTATATCCTATTTTTAGTCTTTGTATTTTTGTTGCTATATTACAATAATGCTGAATTTTGCCATCTTGAAATATGATGTAAATTACTTTTTCTCCTTTTAATTCTTGGCATTCTAAATTTTTTTCCACATGTTTTTAATTGTCGGCATTTTATATATTCGATATTATACATTTAAATCATATATTGTGTATATCAAATATACATATTTAATATATATTCATTTTTCCTTTTATTGTATTTTTGCATTCTTTCATTTTTAATATTTTCTGCTCTTCTACATGTCTTTTCTAAATAACACACATCTTGATTTTTTAACATAAATTTTCTCTTATTTAAGAGGCAGTATAACCCATTTGTATATAGTGTCTATATAATATACAAATTATTACAGAAATATTATTATCTTTGTATAAAAGACATAAATTATATACAAAGATATTATTTAAACTTCTTTTTCATAGTGTGCCTTCAACATCTTTAGCCCATTCCTCTTTTTTGTCATCTTTTTGGTATTGGTTAGAGATTTTTGCTTTTCTTTTCTAAAAACCGGTTTGGAAGCTATATGTACTATTTCTATTCTTCTAGGAGGCACTTAAAAATTTTAGCAAGCAAATTTAAATTGAAACTCTTGTAATCAAAAGTTGATGACTGTCTGTAAACTTGATTTCCCTCCCTAAAAGACAAAGCCTTTGCCAGGCTTTTAATGATTTCTCTTCCTATTCTTCTATGGCTGAAATTATCTGAAGGTTTCATTCCAGAGAAGTAGTGTTAATAATAGCAGTCGTAGTACTCTTAGCATTATTAGTATTATTATTTACTTTACGTCTCTACTTTACAAGAAGACTTTATTAGTAATTGTATTACATTTTACTACCAAATTAGATTTAAATTGCGTTTTTGTGACTTATATGCTCTACTTTATTTGTTACGTTCCCAGTCATTGTCTATTTTAGATTCTTTTTTTCTGTTTTTCTGGAGCAATCCTCAATTAATTTTTGCTCCTTTATTTTCTGAAAAGCTGTGAGTGGTCAACTTTCTGAGTCTTTGCTTGTCTGAAAGAAACTCCTTCATTTGTCTTTACACATGACACAGAGCTGTCTTGATTATAAAAATCCCAGGTTGAAAACAGCTTCCGCACATCCTTATCATCATTTATCTTCTAAAATATTTCAAGTGGATAAGGCAAACAGCATTTGCTTTTTAGAAATAAGATTGCCCATTTTCCAATAAGTCATTCTTAAGTGTTCATTGTCCTTATCCCTTCCAACTGACCCACCATAGAGAACTTCTAATTAATAGTTTATCAGGGCATTTATAGAGAGCTGTTTCTATCAATGGCAAGCACTTTTCTAACAACAAAATTCTATGTATGAGCCAGAAGTTCCCATTTCTGATGTTCTATTTGCTAATGATGCAGTGAGTTCCTGAGTTTTAAAACATGTTGTGAATTTTCTTCCACTTATGTTAATACCTCTAGCCTGCTGGGCCTTGAAGATTTCCCTAATGTTTTCTCAGGAAAGGGTACCCTGAATGTCAGTCACTTCCTCTCATCCTTGACTGTCAGATCTGTAGACCCACAGATGGTTCTCCGTAGGCTATTTTAAAAGAGACTTTTCTCACTGGCCTTTGAGATGTTATTAAGAACTGTCGTAAATTCTCTTTCGGTCCACCTGATTTCTTATGAGCATGTGGTCTTCCATACATTTGGAACTTCCTGTTCCCTCACTTGAAACACTGAGACATAAGTTACAGTGAGAAATTCAGGATTGTCAGATAGAAGGTAAAGTCATGGTTCTACAGATTAGATGCCCTTGGATAATACTGTGCTTTAACCACCTTGGCCAAGGAGTCCAACCCGATGTCTGAAAATACTCAGGTACTTGATGGCCTCCCTCACTGATTCTGCTGACTTCCCTCTGGACCTCTTTTCAAGGCTAGGTTCACTGTAGTACCAGATTCTAAAACCTCTCCCACCCGAAATCATCTTGCGATCTTTCTTTATACTCCATGCCAAGGAACCCACCTTCCATTAGGGATTATCTCTCATTGCTACTCTAGCTGCCTCCAGTATTGTAGATCGTGGATGTCAGTACCTCCACTGAGACTCTGACACCAGTTGCATCAAGTTCAGGTTGTGGCTATCATAGAATAAGAGGCATCGAGAGTGCATCTACTTACAAAGAGTGCAGACAGGCAATGACTGATTCTGGCCATCTGGTCACTCTGTGTGTGCCTCTGTCTTGATCCCTTTTAGGTGGGAGGACACACCATGCTCCCCATCCGTTGGATGCCCCCTGAAAGCATCATGTACCGGAAGTTCACTACGGAGAGCGACGTGTGGAGCTTTGGAGTGATCCTTTGGGAGATCTTCACCTATGGAAAGCAACCGTGGTTCCAGCTCTCAAACACAGAGGTACAGAAGGGGGCTAGAGGGGAACCTCCATTTGGGGGAAGGCTGATAGGAGTTATCTCGGGCCAGGATTTGGACCTAGTATACAAAACATGAGGCAGTGTTTGGAGCTAGCAGGGCAAATATAGGTATAAGCAAGAGGGGAGAGCTTCTTAGTAGGAAACACATTAGAGCTGTAGGAAGTGTGGTGTAATTGTCAAGAGAGCATGAAATCAGATGTCTAAATGGATTTGCGAGTCCTGGTCCTGTTTGTGCTGCGACACTTAAAAATCACAAACGTCTCACTAAGACGGAACATGAAAACAAAGAACAGCTCTGAGTTTTTCAATTGTGCCATCTTGTGGAAACACCCAAGGAGTCTGGATTCCCAAAGGTTTTAGGCCTGCCAGGCCTGGGATGGGCAGAGGATGGTGGATGGGGAAGGCACATTTCACGTTATTGATAGAGCTGTGTGTGGACCTCCAGGAATAAAAGCGCTCATCAGAGGAAACAACATCATCATAATTAACACATTATATGCTTTTATAATTTTGATTTATAATAATAAGAAGAATACCAGTAATCAGATTTTCACAATTGCTAACATTTAGTGCCAGGTATTTTCTCAGCACTTTAGCTGTATTAACTCAGTACTTTCCACACGAATACCTGTTGAGATTCAGGGCAAAGGGAAGGGAACTGCTTGGGGGTCTGGAGAGGACTGGCCAGAGACTCAGATGGGAGCTTCTGCAGCATGGAGAAGGCATGGGCGATGGCCACAGGACTCCTGCCTCCAAAGCCAGTCAGGGTGGTTCTCATTTATGTCTGACCAGACTCGTGTTGTCCTGGAGAATTCAGTATAGTTAATAGACAGTAACGGGCTCGGATTCCCAATCAAGCAGACCTATAAGGGATTGCAATTTATTTTTATGGTCTTCTGTTTTCTACAAAAACATGAACACAAGGGCCTTTTAATATTGCAATCTTATCTGAATTTCGAGAAAGTATCTTTGTTTTTGAGAGCTGTATTCCTCTTTGCTTTCCTGTGCCCTAACCGGTGAGTTTCAGAGACCGAAAAGAAGACGCTTCTTTAAATCTGTAGTATCTCATCAATCACAAGCTGAATGAGTCTTGACCACATTTCCCAAAGTAGGACAAAACATTTTAATGACCTTAAAAAAAGAAGAGTATATATCGGAACCCATTTGTTGCAGTGTTTTAAAGAAAATTGTTGCTGTTTTCTTGGGGTGTGAATTGGTAGTTAACACACACATACACACACGCAAGCGTGCATGCATGTCCATGCATGCATGCATATACGTACCTGCGTACATGCATGTACATACTCTTGCATAAACATGTGTACACACGAGTATACACAGCCTGACCACAGCCTCCATGTAGTCTCGTGGCCCCAGTGAAAAGGGGATCTGGGCGGAGGGTGCTTGTGGTGTTGGTAGTACATCTGTCCTGGAGACCCAAGCCCGCTCATAGTAGCCAACAAGGTGTTTCCTGCCAATCATTTCTAACACAGTTTGGTGAGGTGTTGGCCTGGAAGGTGGGCTTTCTGCCCCCAGCCACCTGTCCCACTCCACAGCCCAGAGCAGCCAAGTGCTGTTAACCACTGATCATGGGTTTCTTTATGGAGGTTGACAAGCCAGTGAGCCCCACACTGGAGGAGACACTAGCGAGTGCTTTTGTTCGCAGCGTAAACAGCTGCTGCAGTTTGAGCCGGGTCCCTTCTCGTGGAGGTGAAGGTAATGGAGTGTGGAAACAGGGCTCTTAATAAGAATGGAGAATTTGAGTAGCTGGAGACCGATCGGGCTGGCACAGAAACAAGCCTCTTGGGCCGGCACTGACCCCAGGGTGAATCGGACCAGGAAAGTGCTGACACATTGGGGGCTTGACATGCTGTCCTTGGGTCAGAGTGACATGAGACAACACCCCAGACAGGGCGCTGTTGGGGGCAGCATGAGGAGATAAAGGAGACAAAAGGCACTTCTCTTGCCCAACTAAACACAGACTCATGGGGGCAAAGACACTGGAGGCACTCAAGTGGAATGAATCTGTGTATTTTATCATTACAACCCATCTCTGAACGAGGAAGCTGGAGTTTGGGGTAAGTTGCCCAAGGTTTCATAGTGATCGAGTTAGGGAGACGTTAAAAACCAATCCAAGACCAGGAAGATGAAAACGTGAAAAGTCACATGTTCTATGTCAGCAAAGAAGTGCCTTTGAGAAATTGGAAATGAATCGCAGACTACAGGCTTGGTCCTTACATGACCAGCTGGGGTTGGTCCAGCCCTACGTTATTTGTTTTCTTCCTTCTCCTCCTTAGGGCCTCCCCTGTGGTATGTCAGGCCATGCTTCGTGCCCTTGGCTTCATTTGGACCTTATGACTATGCAGGAGGTAGTCAAGGCACACATTGGATCCCTCTCTTCTAGATGAAGGTGCTGAGGTCAGGTTCACTGACTTGTGCTGGCCACAGAGCTGGGCGGTGGTGAATCGAGCAGTAGTCCTGATGTGAAAGACTTTAACAGAAGCCAAATAAATGGGTTAGTGCAAAGAGCAGGGGAGAGGGGCCTCGCCGAGAAACGGAACCACATGGCAGCATAGACGGAAGCCTGGTGCTATGCACAGAGGCTGGGAGCCAGAGGGGAGCTGGCCAGGAGATGGGAGCTAAGGGGAGGGAGGCATGGAGGGGCCGGATGGTGCAGAGTTCCTTCAAGGGGTTCTCAAAGTCACCCAGGCTCATAAGAGGGGAGGCACAGGTCAGATGCCAATCCCCACTGCCAAGTGGCAACGAATCGTGCGGCATCTAGATGAGATTCAGGACTAGAGAGGAGGAGACAAGTAAAGGCTAGAGTGCATGGGGGAGCCCATGAAGGCCTGGCCCAAGAGATGGGGCACAAAGGGCAACGGTGGGCACGGCCAGCCGACAGCCTGCCCAGGACAGATGAGAGACTCTGTGCTGTCTCCAGCCAGCCTGCAGCCTGTGCAGGTGGGCACCCCGGCTCTGCACTGAAGCTCCTTCATGAAGTCACCGCCTGCTGCTGGGTGGGAGCCCCGGGGCCCAGGGGGGCTTTGGATGTTAATGTCCTGGTTCTTCTCATTATTTTCAGGTCATCGAGTGCATCACTCAAGGTCGTGTGCTGGAGCGGCCCCGGGTCTGCCCCAAAGAGGTGTACGATGTCATGCTAGGGTGCTGGCAGAGGGAGCCCCAGCAGCGGCTGAACATCAAGGAGATCTACAAAGTCCTCCACGCTTTGGGGAAAGCTGCCCCCATCTACCTGGACATCCTCGGCTAGCGGCGGCTGGTGGTCATGGACGCATACTCTGTGGCTTCCCTCTCCCGGCCTCACATCGCCCCTTGTCCACCTCACACTCCTTTCTTCCATCCTGACTGAAGCGAACATCTTCATATAAACTCAAGTGCCTGCTACACATACAACACTGAAAAAAAAAAGTGAAAGAAAAAACCCTGTAAGGCAGTTTGGCGAATATATATATATATTTATATATCTAACTATCTATCTATCTATATCCACAGAGAGATACCTTCTCTAATACAGAGAGAAACTGCTGATACAGAAACCATAAGACTATAACAACAACTCAGAAAATCTTAAATCTTATGAACACAAATGGAAGTTCCCTTTGACTGAAGCTGGGGCCCGTGGTTCTCCGGCTCCGGCTTTTCGGAGCCGAAGACCCTGATGACGCAGAGACGGTCTTTACGCCGGGACGGGAGGAGATGGGGTGCAGTGCGAATCAGCGCCTGCACAGGTGCGCTACCCTCCCCCACCCCCGAGGTCTGCACAGGTGCGGGGGCTGACCTCGTCCACTGCACTCAGGAGGCAGCAGGAAGTAACACCGGCCCCGGGGGCCTCTGGAATGCCTCACGTCTCCACTGACTATTGCTCCATGCCTTCCCCCTTTCCTCCACTTTAAGGCAATTCTCCAATTTGTCCGTTCTAGAAAGTAGAGTCCTGATGCTTTTGGAAGTCAACGAGGGCGTCTACCACTAAACACTGGAAAAAGGACGTGACCCAAAACCATGGTGACAATGGACCACATCCGCCTTGGGTGTAAACCATGCTCAAGTTCCTTCCTCAGCTGGAAAGAGGTGTGCCATCTATTCTCGGAACATCAAGAACTGGACGTTCTGGACTTAACCACAGAAGAAAAAGCTGAAATTTGAACCCTCCATGTCAAGGCACTGCCTCCCACCTTTTCCTCACTGGAAAGACTCCTTGGCCCCACCTCCCACATTCAGGCCTTTGGGGGAGTTTGGGGGCATAGGGAACACCCCCCATGTTGCCTGTGAATGTGGACACAGCAGGGTTCCAATAGCAGGAGACTTCGTTCCTCGTAGGTCATTATAAGATGTGCCCCTCTGTGTCATCTGTTTCTTGTCCTGCCTGCCCTAGACCCTCAGCCCCGACCTTCTGGGCCTCTCGCACGTCCCAGGGAAACGTCACTGCCAAGGAAGGAAGCCAGGACTAGCGACGGTGTGGGGCAAGTGCTTATTTCAGAGAGCGAGGCCGTGGACTGGGCATGAGCCGGCAGGGGAGAATCTATTTGGCACCTGCACCGGCCCCTTGGCATTCTCCTCACGTTTCCAGCCCCTGGAAGGATTGATGCATCTGCCTCTGAGCTTGCTGTGAACACTCAGGGGCTGAAAAATCGCTTTGTGGGCTGGGGTGGGGGAGGGGCCGAGGCTTCTCCGGGAGGCATCCACAGTGTGGCCACGGCCACAGGCTTGGCATCTTAATGAGGACGGAGCCCTGACCAGGGAGAGAGGATGAGGCTTCTGGGCTGGGGTCCTGGCCGCTGCTGTCGAGGCCTGTAACAGGGGCAGATCCCTGGGCCTCCTGAACACATGACCACGAAATGCCCCTGGAAGGCAACAGCCTGGCCCCATGGAGCCCTCCTGCTGGAGAGAGGACAGGACCCTCTCAGCTCACCCCAAGCACAGAGCTCCCTAACAGACTGGCCTTCGCCCCCCCAGGAGCCTCGGGGTGGGCAGGGGTCGGGGGGCTCAGCGTGAGGGGCTGTGGTGGCTTGAACGGCCTGGTCAGCTGCAGCACGGGCCTCCCTGTGGGGTTCAGGACTAAATCCTGTGTTTGTGGTTTTGCTTCCTTTTTTTTTTTTTTTTTTTTAAGACCAACACATGTTTTTATTCAAATAGAAAAGAGCTGTGTCAGGACTGCCAGCCTCAGTTGGGAGTCGGGGAATCAGTGAGGCCACTCAGCTGGCCCGGGTGGGGACCCAGAGTTTGGTGTGGGTTTGGCCCTGTGCGGGCCTCCCAACCCTGAGGACCGTTGAGGAGAGCTTGGTGGATCGACCACATCAGAGGAACCCTTTGCTGTCCTATGGCCATTGTCCCGCCTGTCTTTCTGCCTCAAGGCCCTGGGTCTCTTCTGGGCCTGCTCTTGCAGGATGAGCTATGGATGCAGTCTAGTTTTGAGCAAGGTAACTGAGGAAAAGCTGTCCATGGAGGGAGGGCCTTGAGGGGGAAGGGTCTTCTGGTTAGATGTGAGGCTCCAAAGCTCCTGTTGCTGCCAAAACAGACCCCGGAGAGTCTCCCCAGCACAGACCCTGTGTAGCTTCCATCTCACAGGCTGTGTTTCTAGAACCTCACAGTCACTGATAGGCTGGGAAGATGGGGGCATGGGAAGGGGTTGGAGGCCGGGGGAGCAGCTGGGAATGAGGAACAGGCTAGGCTTTCAACACAGGGCGCTAAGGCATCCCAGCCTAAGGGGAGAAGCTAGCTCCTTTGGGAATAAGGAGCCGTGAAGGAGACCGAAGTCAGACTGCATAGGCCCTCCCCCGTGCTGGCCATGGGGACACGTCTTGGTTACGTCCACTGTAAGCGGCTGCCTCTCTGAAGAGTAGAGGAACGAAGGGTGGCCGAGTAAGGGGAGTAGAGAGGGATCACCGGCTTTCTTCCTCCCTGGTTGTGCTCTCTGTACAGAGACTATGTGTCGACTTTATGTCAAGGCGGGTAAAAGAATAAGGTTTTTGGAGGGTGAGGGAGGCAGAGAGGAGGAGCACCCCGGGGCCCTGGGGGCAAGCAGGGGATGTTATTCCTCCTGTGGTGGGAAGCGCTGTCTCAGTCTCCTGAGAAATGAAAGGTGCCTGTTCATCTCTGGCCGCTTCAGGGTCTGACATGTTTCGATTCTCCCAGTGCGGACTCACTGTGCTGTGTGGTTCTCCGTAGCGCCCTGGGAGGCCAGGGAGGCCCTCCTCGGGGCAGCTGCCCCTGGGGGCTCGTGGGCCTGTGCACGTGTGGGTCCCGTGGGACATTCCTCTCCTTCTTGGTGCCTCTGTCACCGTGCGAAGCGTCTGAGGTGGCTTTCGGCCCACAGGGTGCATTTGGTCTTGTTCCCCATCCCCAGCCTCTTTGCACAACCAGGAAGTGCTGGCCAAGGCCTGTTTATCTATTTATTTTCAAAGCGCTTAATGTGGTTAAATGAGTCTTAAAATGACATCCCATCAGCCAGTGTGGCCGCCCCAGTCCACCCCGCTCTCACCCCTTCCCACCAAAATTCACAGTTTAAAAAAACATGCTAGAGCAGCTCTCAGGGTGTGGCTGGATGCAGATGCCACCCCCCACCCCCGGTGAACTTTGCGGGGAGCTCCAGGTCACCCAGACTGACCTCCCGGCCATGTCATCCTCACCTGATTCCCTCCTGGACCGAGTGACAGTGGCCTGCTTGTGGAGGCCACTTGGAGTAGAGAGGCATGGCCAAGGGTCTTCCCCATTCTTGACTTTGGACATGAACCAGATGCTGCCCTCTTATCATATCCCTGGCCCCTGAGTGGGTCTTGAGACTCACTAAGCCTTCTCTTGCTAACAGATGAAGACTTGTGTTCCTTCACTCAGCAGATGATGCACAGATAGATCATCCCTGGAGTGAGGCTTCCCACTGGAGGCAAAGGAGGCTTGGTCCTCCTGGTTGAACCTTACCATTCTTCTCTAGTGATGCTTATTTTGTGGAATATACTAGTGCAAATATTTCTGGTGCTAAATACTACAGAAATCAACACTAACAGGAGAGCTGACAGCCAGCTTCTGGGGCTGCATGAGACTCCCCTGGAAAGTGTCCCTACATGCTGGGACAGTAGAGGATGCTTGGGACCTGGGGCAGGAGCATGCAGTGGTGTGGAGAGCCCGTTGGGCTTTGCTTCTGGTTACCCAGGTACCTTGGCCAGGTCCCCGAATCAGAGTATCAGATTTCTCATCTGAGACATTTAAGAGGTTAGAATAGATATCCTTAGGGTCCCTCTCGGTTTAAAAAAAAAAAAGTCTGTTCTGGTCCCACCTTTTTGTTTTGTTTACTTTCTTATTAGAAATAAGAGAGAAAATGAAAGGCAGGTAAAGAAGGCGGGGAGGGAAAGTCACCGAGGGCAAGACATTGATTATAGAAGGCAAACAGGGAAGACTCCATGACTCTTAGGTTGGAGGGAGGTTGGTGGGGGGAGCCAGGCCCACCAGCTCTCCAGCCGCAGCCCGGCCCCTGAGGCTGACTTCCACAGGCCCTCCTCCTCAGCTTGCTAGCTTCTCCATTTAACACTGACATGCCCTAAGCTGGCAGAAAGGATCCCAAGATAGGGAGACAGGCCCGCCCCCCGCTCGTGCAGACTGCTGGCAGTCTGATTTCAAAACCTGACAGATGTTTATCCTCACGTGCTATTTCAAGGGTAGGAAGTTGGAAAGAGGGCAGCATTTTAAGTTGTGGACTCTTCACCAAAGTCCTTTTCCCTTCCGGAATGCCGAATGGTGTCCTTGCTCCTCTTTCCCAAACCAAACAGCAGCAGTATTATTCATCGGAGGTGTGGTTATTGAAGAAGGCAATCTTGGGCTTTGGGATCACCCCTGTGCTTCGCTTAGAGTCTGGAGCAAAGAAACATCTATAGTTCTTGGTTGAATGAGCCCCTGTGCCCACGGTCTAGAGGACTGCCCTCAAATGCCCCTGGGTTTGGCTATTGTCAGCTCTGCCAGAGCCGACCAGCTTGAATATTGGATGGCATTTGTCTTAGAGCAAGAAATGGCACCTTCAGCCCAGGGCTTGGTGCTGTAGCCACATCGTTTTTGGTCCCTGGTGCGCCAGACTTTCCTTTGATACCAAATAAAATGTTTTGGCCAACACTTGCTAGGTTTTAAAGGGAAATTCCAAGTCTTTGTATCATTTTTAAGGTATCAATATAGACTCCAGAAAATGCTTTGGGATTGCTGAACAGTACTGGTAGCATCATCCGAGGGGAAATGTAGGCCCCTATATATTGTATGCTTTTATCTTTATCTTTAATTGGACTGGCTTCATTGAAAGTCTGCTTGGAGTCAGCAAATGGATTCCTTGATGCTCGGTCTCTTTGAGGCTTACATTCCTCGGGGATGAGATATCCAGAGATGGCCTGGCCTAAGAGAGCCCATCAGAGAGATGCTATTGGGAAATATGTCATCTTGTAAAATTTGATCCTTGGGTGCTCCCTGAATTAAATTATGCTGGTGACAACATTCTGGGCATCTGAAAATCTCTCCTCCTGGCAGTCTGATAGATGGCCATGCAGGAATGATTTCTACCACACCCCGTTTGGGGGTTGGCATTGAATTCATCTGGACTGCAGGTACAACCACCCCCTAGGATGGATGGGACAGAGAGAATGTGAGATGTTGATAATACTCTTTTGGAAAGGTGACTGTGGTGGATGTGGTGAACATTTGTGTCACTATTTGGGGGGTTAGGCCTTTTGCTGTGAGCATAGGCTGTCCCACCCTAAGGATCTGGATCTTGGCTTCTGATAGAGTCTCTGTTTCCCTGGTGCAATCTCCTCAAGCATAGTTTCTTTAACCGACCTCCAAAATTCTATACTTTGCAACAAGAGACGTCTCTGGCCCAAGTCTCGGCATGCCAACATAGACAGTTTCCGATTTCACAAGGAGATCTGTGAAGATTGAGGGTCCCCTCAAAATACTTGGAATTCTTGATCAGAATAATAAAATTCAGATTCTCCTTCCTCTTTAGCTAACTAAGTTCCAAATTTGAAACAAGGTCCGGTTTGATATTTGCAGTAGGGATGATGTCTTAACCCAGTGTGTTGAGCTATTTCCCGTCATACAGAGGCAGGACAGTAAGCTCTGTTAATTTTTTCTAATCAACAAGGTAATCATCACTTTGTGTGCAGTGCCATGGTC